TATCATTTTATTTACATTTAAAAACAAAATCATGTCAATTAACAAGCATTTTATTTATTACAGTCACCAATATATCCAAATATGAACACGGGTCTGACAGTCATTCACCACATTCAACTCGGCTAGTACCAGTAAGGTGTCATCAATTGAAATGGTCACAGTATCCAAGACACTGAAGTCACAGAACTCAAATTCCATAGATGTACACAGGTAAGTGTTAAGTCTTTGAAAATCACTAAATTGACTAATACCAAAGACCCAGATTTTTACATCATTTCCTGGTTGAACAAGATTTAGCAGAGTAAAAAATGGCTAGGCTTTACCTGATTGGCTGAATTCAGGTAAGTAATTTTTTTCATTTTAAAGCAAAAATATTAATGTTTGAAATAAATGATGGAATGAGGAAATATTCTAGTAAGTATAGAAATACCAGGGGATAAATAAAGGAGTGGGGTTGATTTTGAAAGTAGAGTGCCATTTACTGCCGATCACTGGAAGTTGAAAAGAACTGCAAATTTGACCTATAAACGCCACGGCACGGTATGTATTTTTCAGTGTTTTTAAAAAGCGCTTAGAATGAAGTTTCAAATGATACCAGGGATTTGTTGGAAAGGGAAATAGTATAGCACTGGGAGGGCAAGAGATTTGTATAGAGTTCTATGGGAAAATAATTGGTACTCTTTTCCCTATAGAGACCCCATTTTTGAAATGTCACGTGACTTTAAAGACAAAATTAGTTGTTGATAGCAAATGATTTGAAGATGGGAGACATTTTTGAGAAGCTGAAATTGAATTTAGCAAATAAGAGTGAGAGGGTGGGGGTAGGGGAGGGGGATTGTGTACTGTGGAGAGGGGGGACCAATAGTAGGGGGTATGGGGTGATGAGGGTCACATGGCCGGAGGAGGGTAGGAAGGTAGAGCTGGTGCATCGGGTTGCTCTTATGGTAGAGATGCGTCGGACCCCATCTCAGTTTCCAGGTAGGGGACTAGAGGTCAGCCATCTCTGCCATAAGAAGTTGTGTATCAACCCGATGCACCTCACTCGGGAGCAGCATGCCATTAATCAGGAGCGGATTCACTGTGCAGGCCAGGGTTTTTGTACTGAGGCCCACTACCCCAAGTGCATTTTTTAAAGTAATTTTTTTTATTAATAGAAGAATTTGATAAATATTAAGATATTAATCACTCAATTTAGAATAGTTGTGTTCTGGGTACTTTTTTTTCTGAGCTCGGGTTCGAGATTCCACTAGCATCATATTTTTTTTATATTTGACTTCCTCTTGGTGTTTTTCATACAGTTTGTACAGTTTTTTGCGTTTAATAACCCTTTTTGTTTTGTAGGACTGAGACTTCTGATTTGATTTATTTAACTCATAATCATGTTGTATCTTATCTAGGGAATGGTCAACCTGGCCACCAGTGGGAATGGGGGCACCAACCCCTGCACAGAGACCTCTGATGGAGCTGCCCGGACCGTGATTAGAAGAGTGAGCAGCACTGTGCGCCCGACCAGCAAAGTTTCTCGTGAAAGTGACATTACGAGGTAGGGATCGTCGCAGAGTTCTGTTGAAGCTTTCGACCTTTTGTGAGTTGCTGTTTTTGATCGTCCTGTCCAGTACAGCTGGACACAACCTCTTTGAGATGCAGGCATGGAGCCTTGCCTCGTTCTCGACTGAAGACGGTATTGTGAAATCATGACCTAAATAAGAACTCTTCCTAACCCAATTGTTACTAACTCTGCCTTTGCACACTAGAGAGTGTTTTCTGCATAATGCATGATCCCCCATGTAACACTTTACTATTGCATGTTTGGCATAAGATATTTTGTTTTTCATTTTATCTGCATCTCCGGCATATGCTGCTTGAGCTTGGTTTATCTCTGCCGTGCATCTGTCAACAGCATCAAGGGCAAAATTGTGCAAAAGTTTGGTTTTTTCTGCCTTTGTTCTTTTTGGCATGACCTCTAACAGTTTTTGATCTTTTTTGATTGACTTCCTAATATTCTCAGACAAGTGACGAGTGTCAATATAGTGTACTGGTTTATTTTGTAGCAGACCGTCCTTATAGAGGGAATCTGCAGCTCGACCAGCGGAGCTGTCCGGGTCAGTGGTTACCTCCCTTACCTCGAGGCCATCTTTGCAGAGGAGTTCCGCCATCCCCTCCCGAGCCCATGTGAACTCATCCCCTATCGTATGCTGCATGGGTAGGTTTGCCCCACACACCCCAGGACTACATTGGTGGTTAGCAGTGCCCTCCTCCAGTAAGTGGCCATGTTTGGAACAGATTTTATTTTTTGTAACCATTTTAACAATTTGGTGTTTTGATGTGACATTTTCAGCAAATGAGTACACTGTCTGTGTCGCCGGCTGGAAGGGTGTCTCACCCACCCCCGAGTACAGGGGGTTATTGTACATGCCATCACACTGTACGGGGATGGCATGTGGGGAGTCACTTCCCCTTAGAGTGTTGACATCCACCAGCTGGCGACACCGATTACTCATGTCAGCTTCATTAAGGGTCTCTATTAGGGGCATAATTTTATTTGATGTTTTTTGCAGGGACTTACGAGAAGGAGGGGGAGTGTTAGTAGAAAGAAGAATTTTCCTCATCCCATCATTGCCTATGGGGGTTTGACTTAGGCCCACCTGAAGCCCATAATTAACAGTGGCAGCTTTTCTACCCCGGGTTTTGGACTCTACCTCCTCATACAGATTATACCGCCTCGATGCATATCTACACGTGGTGCAGCAGAGGCCCAATCTGCTTCCAAGGCCTCGCCTCTCTTCGGTAGCCAGGTCCCATGATAGTGGTCCATCACAGCCTGGTTTCTCATGCCGGTGGACTCGCATGACCTCATTCCACATCTCGGCTGTTTTTCTTAGATGTAGGAGTCTATGGGAATTTTGGTTAGCCAGCCTAGGTAAATATTCAATGTTTCATTTGCTTTAAACAGTTGGCATTGTGCAGAGCATGTGAATAGATTTTAGAGTTACTTCCCTTAGACTATCTAACAAGACATAGAGAAATTTAACATTGTGTAAATTTTTTTCTCTTGCAATTATTACTTTTAAATTTTTGTAAAATACTGATAAGGCTTTTTACTGCATGTATCAAATTTGACCCTGCATGTATTTACATGTATTTACATGTAATTGTGTGTAATATGTACCCTACCCTTATTTAGACTTTTTTTTAGTATTTAGGTAATATTTAGCTTTATAATACTTAATTTTAAAAAAAATATTTTGAGAAAAAGTGATTAATTGTGATTAATTTTTTTGAAATTTGACTTACTGTTCTGATTCATTTTCATTTAGGCCCTCCTGAACACTTTCATTGTTTGGCTTCCTTGGCCTGAGGAGGTGGTGGCACTTGGGTCGCAGCATCATTTCCTGCCTTTCAGCAGCTGAGGGAGTCACCGTCACCATCTGATGCATGTCCTCAGACAGTCTCCTGTACGGTGCAGGTAAATTTTCCTTTCGCTTACTTTCCACCCCCTTATTGTGAGGCACATTTTGGGGTTTGAAACCGCACTTGTTACCTTTTTGGAATTTTGGCATTTCTTTAAGTTCTCCTTTTCCAGTTTAAAATTTGAGTATTTTGGCAAATATACAGGGCTGTTTAAGGCTACAGAGACTGAACTCTAATGTGTTATCAAAATAAGGGATTTTCTCTTGTCTCAGTTAATTGTAAACAAAGAAGATGGGGGGCACCTGCTATTTCTCCAAGTTACATTAGATAGAGGGGTGGTGAAACTTTTTGCACATACTTAATCAGCAGGGAGGACCAGATAAGAATCATTAGTTTAACTAGAGGCCTGATTGATTTACTTCTCATAATCACCAAAAAGTCGGCTAATAAATCTTTTTGAAATATCCATATTTTGCATTATTTGCTATGTTTTCATTAAATTTGGGAACTTTTCTTATGTTCTGGGTAGAATCTACCCTTATGAAAGAAATAACACAGATTGCACTTAATATCATTTTATTTACATTTAAAAACAAAATCATGTCAATTAACAAGCATTTTATTTATTACAGTCACCAATATATCCAAATATGAACACGGGTCTGACAGTCATTCACCACATTCAACTCGGCTAGTACCAGTAAGGTGTCATCAATTGAAATGGTCACAGTATCCAAGACACTGAAGTCACAGAACTCAAATTCCATAGATGTACACAGGTAAGTGTTAAGTCTTTGAAAATCACTAAATTGACTAATTCTGAGGTAGGTAAAAATGTAAGTATAGGAAAAAGAGTACCAAAGACCCAGATTTTTACATCATTTCCTGGTTGAACAAGATTTAGCAGAGTAAAAAATGGCTAGGCTTTACCTGATTGGCTGAATTCAGGTAAGTAATTTTTTTCATTTTAAAGCAAAAATATTAATGTTTGAAATAAATGATGGAATGAGGAAATATTCTAGTAAGTATAGAAATACCAGGGGATAAATAAAGGAGTGGGGTTGATTTTGAAAGTAGAGTGCCATTTACTGCCCATCACTGGAAGTTGAAAAGAACTGCAAATTTGACCTATAAACGCCACGGCACGGTATGTATTTTTCAGTGTTTTTAAAAAGCGCTTAGAATGAAGTTTCAAATGATACCAGGGATTTGTTGGAAAGGGAAATAGTATAGCACTGGGAGGGCAAGAGATTTGTATAGAGTTCTATGGGAAAATAATTGGTACTCTTTTCCCTATAGAGACCCCATTTTTGAAATGTCACGTGACTTTAAAGACAAAATTAGTTGTTGATAGCAAATGATTTGAAGATGGGAGACATTTTTGAGAAGCTGAAATTGAATTTAGCAAATAAGAGTGAGAGGGTGGGGGTAGGGGAGGGGGATTGTGTACTGTGGAGAGGGGGGACCAATAGTAGGGGGTATGGGGTGATGAGGGTCACATGGCCGGAGGAGGGTAGGAAGGTAGAGCTGGTGCATCGGGTTGCTCTTATGGTAGAGATGCGTCGGACCCCATCTCAGTTTCCAGGTAGGGGACTAGAGGTCAGCCATCTCTGCCATAAGAAGTTGTGTATCAACCCGATGCACCTCACTCGGGAGCAGCATGCCATTAATCAGGAGCGGATTCACTGTGCAGGCCAGGGTTTTTGTACTGAGGCCCACTACCCCAAGTGCATTTTTTAAAGTAATTTTTTTTATTAATAGAAGAATTTGATAAATATTAAGATATTAATCACTCAATTTAGAATAGTTGTGTTCTGGGTACTTTTTTTTCTGAGCTCGGGTTCGAGATTCCACTAGCATCATATTTTTTTTATATTTGACTTCCTCTTGGTGTTTTTCATACAGTTTGTACAGTTTTTTGCGTTTAATAACCCTTTTTGTTTTGTAGGACTGAGACTTCTGATTTGATTTATTTAACTCATAATCTTGTTGTATCTTATCTAGGGAATGGTCAACCTGGCCACCAGTGGGAATGGGGGCACCAACCCCTGCACAGAGACCTCTGATGGAGCTGCCCGGACCGTGATTAGAAGAGTGAGCAGCACTGTGCGCCCGACCAGCAAAGTTTCTCGTGAAAGTGACATTACGAGGTAGGGATCGTCGCAGAGTTCTGTTGAAGCTTTCGACCTTTTGTGAGTTGCTGTTTTTGATCGTCCTGTCCAGTACAGCTGGACACAACCTCTTTGAGATGCAGGCATGGAGCCTTGCCTCGTTCTCGACTGAAGACGGTATTGTGAAATCATGACCTAAATAAGAACTCTTCCTAACCCAATTGTTACTAACTCTGCCTTTGCACACTAGAGAGTGTTTTCTGCATAATGCATGATCCCCCATGTAACACTTTACTATTGCATGTTTGGCATAAGATATTTTGTTTTTCATTTTATCTGCATCTCCGGCATATGCTGCTTGAGCTTGGTTTATCTCTGCCGTGCATCTGTCAACAGCATCAAGGGCAAAATTGTGCAAAAGTTTGGTTTTTTCTGCCTTTGTTCTTTTTGGCATGACCTCTAACAGTTTTTGATCTTTTTTGATTGACTTCCTAATATTCTCAGACAAGTGACGAGTGTCAATATAGTGTACTGGTTTATTTTGTAGCAGACCGTCCTTATAGAGGGAATCTGCAGCTCGACCAGCGGAGCTGTCCGGGTCAGTGGTTACCTCCCTTACCTCGAGGCCATCTTTGCAGAGGAGTTCCGCCATCCCCTCCCGAGCCCATGTGAACTCATCCCCTATTGTATGCTGCATGGGTAGGTTTGCCCCACACACCCCAGGACTACATTGGTGGTTAGCAGTGCCCTCCTCCAGTAAGTGGCCATGTTTGGAACAGATTTTATTTTTTGTAACCATTTTAACAATTTGGTGTTTTGATGTGACATTTTCAGCAAATGAGTACACTGTCTGTGTCGCCGGCTGGAAGGGTGTCTCACCCACCCCCGAGTACAGGGGGTTATTGTACATGCCATCACACTGTACGGGGATGGCATGTGGGGAGTCACTTCCCCTTAGAGTGTTGACATCCACCAGCTGGCGACACCGATTACTCATGTCAGCTTCATTAAGGGTCTCTATTAGGGGCATAATTTTATTTGATGTTTTTTGCAGGGACTTACGAGAAGGAGGGGGAGTGTTAGTAGAAAGAAGAATTTTCCTCATCCCATCATTGCCTATGGGGGTTTGACTTAGGCCCACCTGAAGCCCATAATTAACAGTGGCAGCTTTTCTACCCCGGGTTTTGGACTCTACCTCCTCATACAGATTATACCGCCTCGATGCATATCCACACGTGGTGCAGCAGAGGCCCAATCTGCTTCCAAGGCCTCGCCTCTCTTCGGTAGCCAGGTCCCATGATAGTGGTCCATCACAGCCTGGTTTCTCATGCCGGTGGACTCGCATGACCTCATTCCACATCTCGGCTGTTTTTCTTAGATGTAGGAGTCTATGGGAATTTTGGTTAGCCAGCCTAGGTAAATATTCAATGTTTCATTTGCTTTAAACAGTTGGCATTGTGCAGAGCATGTGAATAGATTTTAGAGTTACTTCCCTTAGACTATCTAACAAGACATAGAGAAATTTAACATTGTGTAAATTTTTTTCTCTTGCAATTATTACTTTTAAATTTTTGTAAAATACTGATAAGGCTTTTTACTGCATGTATCAAATTTGACCCTGCATGTATTTACATGTATTTACATGTAATTGTGTGTAATATGTACCCTACCCTTATTTAGACTTTTTTTTAGTATTTAGGTAATATTTAGCTTTATAATACTTAATTTTAAAAAAATATTTTGAGAAAAAGTGATTAATTGTGATTAATTTTTTTGAAATTTGACTTACTGTTCTGATTCATTTTCATTTAGGCCCTCCTGAACACTTTCATTGTTTGGCTTCCTTGGCCTGAGGAGGTGGTGGCACTTGGGTCGCAGCATCATTTCCTGCCTTTCAGCAGCTGAGGGAGTCACCGTCACCATCTGATGCATGTCCTCAGACAGTCTCCTGTACGGTGCAGGTAAATTTTCCTTTCGCTTACTTTCCACCCCCTTATTGTGAGGCACATTTTGGGGTTTGAAACCGCACTTGTTACCTTTTTGGAATTTTGGCATTTCTTTAAGTTCTCCTTTTCCAGTTTAAAATTTGAGTATTTTGGCAAATATACAGGGCTGTTTAAGGCTACAGAGACTGAACTCTAATGTGTTATCAAAATAAGGGATTTTCTCTTGTCTCAGTTAATTGTAAACAAAGAAGATGGGGGGCACCTGCTATTTCTCCAAGTTACATTAGATAGAGGGGTGGTGAAACTTTTTGCACATACTTAATCAGCAGGGAGGACCAGATAAGAATCATTAGTTTAACTAGAGGCCTGATTGATTTACTTCTCATAATCACCAAAAAGTCGGCTAATAAATCTTTTTGAAATATCCATATTTTGCATTATTTGCTATGTTTTCATTAAATTTGGGAACTTTTCTTATGTTCTGGGTAGAATCTACCCTTATGAAAGAAATAACACAGATTGCACTTAATATCATTTTATTTACATTTAAAAACAAAATCATGTCAATTAACAAGCATTTTATTTATTACAGTCACCAATATATCCAAATATGAACACGGGTCTGACAGTCATTCACCACATTCAACTCGGCTAGTACCAGTAAGGTGTCATCAATTGAAATGGTCACAGTATCCAAGACACTGAAGTCACAGAACTCAAATTCCATAGATGTACACAGGTAAGTGTTAAGTCTTTGAAAATCACTAAATTGACTAATTCTGAGGTAGGTAAAAATGTAAGTATAGGAAAAAGAGTACCAAAGACCCAGATTTTTACATCATTTCCTGGTTGAACAAGATTTAGCAGAGTAAAAAATGGCTAGGCTTTACCTGATTGGCTGAATTCAGGTAAGTAATTTTTTTCATTTTAAAGCAAAAATATTAATGTTTGAAATAAATGATGGAATGAGGAAATATTCTAGTAAGTATAGAAATACCAGGGGATAAATAAAGGAGTGGGGTTGATTTTGAAAGTAGAGTGCCATTTACTGCCGATCACTGGAAGTTGAAAAGAACTGCAAATTTGACCTATAAACGCCACGGCACGGTATATATTTTTCAGTGTTTTTAAAAAGCGCTTAGAATGAAGTTTCAAATGATACCAGGGATTTGTTGGAAAGGGAAATAGTATAGCACTGGGAGGGCAAGAGATTTGTATAGAGTTCTATGGGAAAATAATTGGTACTCTTTTCCCTATAGAGACCCCATTTTTGAAATGTCACGTGACTTTAAAGACAAAATTAGTTGTTGATAGCAAATGATTTGAAGATGGGAGACATTTTTGAGAAGCTGAAATTGAATTTAGCAAATAAGAGTGAGAGGGTGGGGGTAGGGGAGGGGGATTGTGTACTGTGGAGAGGGGGGACCAATAGTAGGGGGTATGGGGTGATGAGGGTCACATGGCCGGAGGAGGGTAGGAAGGTAGAGCTGGTGCATCGGGTTGCTCTTATGGTAGAGATGCGTCGGACCCCATCTCAGTTTCCAGGTAGGGGACTAGAGGTCAGCCATCTCTGCCATAAGAAGTTGTGTATCAACCCGATGCACCTCACTCGGGAGCAGCATGCCATTAATCAGGAGCGGATTCACTGTGCAGGCCAGGGTTTTTGTACTGAGGCCCACTACCCCAAGTGCATTTTTTAAAGTAATTTTTTTTATTAATAGAAGAATTTGATAAATATTAAGATATTAATCACTCAATTTAGAATAGTTGTGTTCTGGGTACTTTTTTTTCTGAGCTCGGGTTCGAGATTCCACTAGCATCATATTTTTTTTATATTTGACTTCCTCTTGGTGTTTTTCATACAGTTTGTACAGTTTTTTGCGTTTAATAACCCTTTTTGTTTTGTAGGACTGAGACTTCTGATTTGATTTATTTAACTCATAATCATGTTGTATCTTATCTAGGGAATGGTCAACCTGGCCACCAGTGGGAATGGGGGCACCAACCCCTGCACAGAGACCTCTGATGGAGCTGCCCGGACCGTGATTAGAAGAGTGAGCAGCACTGTGCGCCCGACCAGCAAAGTTTCTCGTGAAAGTGACATTACGAGGTAGGGATCGTCGCAGAGTTCTGTTGAAGCTTTCGACCTTTTGTGAGTTGCTGTTTTTGATCGTCCTGTCCAGTACAGCTGGACACAACCTCTTTGAGATGCAGGCATGGAGCCTTGCCTCGTTCTCGACTGAAGACGGTATTGTGAAATCATGACCTAAATAAGAACTCTTCCTAACCCAATTGTTACTAACTCTGCCTTTGCACACTAGAGAGTGTTTTCTGCATAATGCATGATCCCCCATGTAACACTTTACTATTGCATGTTTGGCATAAGATATTTTGTTTTTCATTTTATCTGCATCTCCGGCATATGCTGCTTGAGCTTGGTTTATCTCTGCCGTGCATCTGTCAACAGCATCAAGGGCAAAATTGTGCAAAAGTTTGGTTTTTTCTGCCTTTGTTCTTTTTGGCATGACCTCTAACAGTTTTTGATCTTTTTTGATTGACTTCCTAATATTCTCAGACAAGTGACGAGTGTCAATATAGTGTACTGGTTTATTTTGTAGCAGACCGTCCTTATAGAGGGAATCTGCAGCTCGACCAGCGGAGCTGTCCGGGTCAGTGGTTACCTCCCTTACCTCGAGGCCATCTTTGCAGAGGAGTTCCGCCATCCCCTCCCGAGCCCATGTGAACTCATCCCCTATCGTATGCTGCATGGGTAGGTTTGCCCCACACACCCCAGGACTACATTGGTGGTTAGCAGTGCCCTCCTCCAGTAAGTGGCCATGTTTGGAACAGATTTTATTTTTTGTAACCATTTTAACAATTTGGTGTTTTGATGTGACATTTTCAGCAAATGAGTACACTGTCTGTGTCGCCGGCTGGAAGGGTGTCTCACCCACCCCCGAGTACAGGGGGTTATTGTACATGCCATCACACTGTACGGGGATGGCATGTGGGGAGTCACTTCCCCTTAGAGTGTTGACATCCACCAGCTGGCGACACCGATTACTCATGTCAGCTTCATTAAGGGTCTCTATTAGGGGCATAATTTTATTTGATGTTTTTTGCAGGGACTTACGAGAAGGAGGGGGAGTGTTAGTAGAAAGAAGAATTTTCCTCATCCCATCATTGCCTATGGGGGTTTGACTTAGGCCCACCTGAAGCCCATAATTAACAGTGGCAGCTTTTCTACCCCGGGTTTTGGACTCTACCTCCTCATACAGATTATACCGCCTCGATGCATATCTACACGTGGTGCAGCAGAGGCCCAATCTGCTTCCAAGGCCTCGCCTCTCTTCGGTAGCCAGGTCCCATGATAGTGGTCCATCACAGCCTGGTTTCTCATGCCGGTGGACTCGCATGACCTCATTCCACATCTCGGCTGTTTTTCTTAGATGTAGGAGTCTATGGGAATTTTGGTTAGCCAGCCTAGGTAAATATTCAATGTTTCATTTGCTTTAAACAGTTGGCATTGTGCAGAGCATGTGAATAGATTTTAGAGTTACTTCCCTTAGACTATCTAACAAGACATAGAGAAATTTAACATTGTGTAAATTTTTTTCTCTTGCAATTATTACTTTTAAATTTTTGTAAAATACTGATAAGGCTTTTTACTGCATGTATCAAATTTGACCCTGCATGTATTTACATGTATTTACATGTAATTGTGTGTAATATGTACCCTACCCTTATTTAGACTTTTTTTTAGTATTTAGGTAATATTTAGCTTTATAATACTTAATTTTAAAAAAATATTTTGAGAAAAAGTGATTAATTGTGATTAATTTTTTTGAAATTTGACTTACTGTTCTGATTCATTTTCATTTAGGCCCTCCTGAACACTTTCATTGTTTGGCTTCCTTGGCCTGAGGAGGTGGTGGCACTTGGGTCGCAGCATCATTTCCTGCCTTTCAGCAGCTGAGGGAGTCACCGTCACCATCTGATGCATGTCCTCAGACAGTCTCCTGTACGGTGCAGGTAAATTTTCCTTTCGCTTACTTTCCACCCCCTTATTGTGAGGCACATTTTGGGGTTTGAAACCGCACTTGTTACCTTTTTGGAATTTTGGCATTTCTTTAAGTTCTCCTTTTCCAGTTTAAAATTTGAGTATTTTGGCAAATATACAGGGCTGTTTAAGGCTACAGAGACTGAACTCTAATGTGTTATCAAAATAAGGGATTTTCTCTTGTCTCAGTTAATTGTAAACAAAGAAGATGGGGGGCACCTGCTATTTCTCCAAGTTACATTAGATAGAGGGGTGGTGAAACTTTTTGCACATACTTAATCAGCAGGGAGGACCAGATAAGAATCATTAGTTTAACTAGAGGCCTGATTGATTTACTTCTCATAATCACCAAAAAGTCGGCTAATAAATCTTTTTGAAATATCCATATTTTGCATTATTTGCTATGTTTTCATTAAATTTGGGAACTTTTCTTATGTTCTGGGTAGAATCTACCCTTATGAAAGAAATAACACAGATTGCACTTAATATCATTTTATTTACATTTAAAAACAAAATCATGTCAATTAACAAGCATTTTATTTATTACAGTCACCAATATATCCAAATATGAACACGGGTCTGACAGTCATTCACCACATTCAACTCGGCTAGTACCAGTAAGGTGTCATCAATTGAAATGGTCACAGTATCCAAGACACTGAAGTCACAGAACTCAAATTCCATAGATGTACACAGGTAAGTGTTAAGTCTTTGAAAATCACTAAATTGACTAATTCTGAGGTAGGTAAAAATGTAAGTATAGGAAAAAGAGTACCAAAGACCCAGATTTTTACATCATTTCCTGGTTGAACAAGATTTAGCAGAGTAAAAAATGGCTAGGCTTTACCTGATTGGCTGAATTCAGGTAAGTAATTTTTTTCATTTTAAAGCAAAAATATTAATGTTTGAAATAAATGATGGAATGAGGAAATATTCTAGTAAGTATAGAAATACCAGGGGATAAATAAAGGAGTGGGGTTGATTTTGAAAGTAGAGTGCCATTTACTGCCCATCACTGGAAGTTGAAAAGAACTGCAAATTTGACCTATAAACGCCACGGCACGGTATGTATTTTTCAGTGTTTTTAAAAAGCGCTTAGAATGAAGTTTCAAATGATACCAGGGATTTGTTGGAAAGGGAAATAGTATAGCACTGGGAGGGCAAGAGATTTGTATAGAGTTCTATGGGAAAATAATTGGTACTCTTTTCCCTATAGAGACCCCATTTTTGAAATGTCACGTGACTTTAAAGACAAAATTAGTTGTTGATAGCAAATGATTTGAAGATGGGAGACATTTTTGAGAAGCTGAAATTGAATTTAGCAAATAAGAGTGAGAGGGTGGGGGTAGGGGAGGGGGATTGTGTACTGTGGAGAGGGGGGACCAATAGTAGGGGGTATGGGGTGATGAGGGTCACATGGCCGGAGGAGGGTAGGAAGGTAGAGCTGGTGCATCGGGTTGCTCTTATGGTAGAGATGCGTCGGACCCCATCTCAGTTTCCAGGTAGGGGACTAGAGGTCAGCCATCTCTGCCATAAGAAGTTGTGTATCAACCCGATGCACCTCACTCGGGAGCAGCATGCCATTAATCAGGAGCGGATTCACTGTGCAGGCCAGGGTTTTTGTACTGAGGCCCACTACCCCAAGTGCATTTTTTAAAGTAATTTTTTTTATTAATAGAAGAATTTGATAAATATTAAGATATTAATCACTCAATTTAGAATAGTTGTGTTCTGGGTACTTTTTTTTCTGAGCTCGGGTTCGAGATTCCACTAGCATCATATTTTTTTTATATTTGACTTCCTCTTGGTGTTTTTCATACAGTTTGTACAGTTTTTTGCGTTTAATAACCCTTTTTGTTTTGTAGGACTGAGACTTCTGATTTGATTTATTTAACTCATAATCATGTTGTATCTTATCTAGGGAATGGTCAACCTGGCCACCAGTGGGAATGGGGGCACCAACCCCTGCACAGAGACCTCTGATGGAGCTGCCCGGACCGTGATTAGAAGAGTGAGCAGCACTGTGCGCCCGACCAGCAAAGTTTCTCGTGAAAGTGACATTACGAGGTAGGGATCGTCGCAGAGTTCTGTTGAAGCTTTCGACCTTTTGTGAGTTGCTGTTTTTGATCGTCCTGTCCAGTACAGCTGGACACAACCTCTTTGAGATGCAGGCATGGAGCCTTGCCTCGTTCTCGACTGAAGACGGTATTGTGAAATCATGACCTAAATAAGAACTCTTCCTAACCCAATTGTTACTAACTCTGCCTTTGCACACTAGAGAGTGTTTTCTGCATAATGCATGATCCCCCATGTAACACTTTACTATTGCATGTTTGGCATAAGATATTTTGTTTTTCATTTTATCTGCATCTCCGGCATATGCTGCTTGAGCTTGGTTTATCTCTGCCGTGCATCTGTCAACAGCATCAAGGGCAAAATTGTGCAAAAGTTTGGTTTTTTCTGCCTTTGTTCTTTTTGGCATGACCTCTAACAGTTTTTGATCTTTTTTGATTGACTTCCTAATATTCTCAGACAAGTGACGAGTGTCAATATAGTGTACTGGTTTATTTTGTAGCAGACCGTCCTTATAGAGGGAATCTGCAGCTCGACCAGCGGAGCTGTCCGGGTCAGTGGTTACCTCCCTTACCTCGAGGCCATCTTTGCAGAGGAGTTCCGCCATCCCCTCCCGAGCCCATGTGAACTCATCCCCTATCGTATGCTGCATGGGTAGGTTTGCCCCACACACCCCAGGACTACATTGGTGGTTAGCAGTGCCCTCCTCCAGTAAGTGGCCATGTTTGGAACAGATTTTATTTTTTGTAACCATTTTAACAATTTGGTGTTTTGATGTGACATTTTCAGCAAATGAGTACACTGTCTGTGTCGCCGGCTGGAAGGGTGTCTCACCCACCCCCGAGTACAGGGGGTTATTGTACATGCCATCACACTGTACGGGGATGGCATGTGGGGAGTCACTTCCCCTTAGAGTGTTGACATCCACCAGCTGGCGACACCGATTACTCATGTCAGCTTCATTAAGGGTCTCTATTAGGGGCATAATTTTATTTGATGTTTTTTGCAGGGACTTACGAGAAGGAGGGGGAGTGTTAGTAGAAAGAAGAATTTTCCTCATCCCATCATTGCCTATGGGGGTTTGACTTAGGCCCACCTGAAGCCCATAATTAACAGTGGCAGCTTTTCTACCCCGGGTTTTGGACTCTACCTCCTCATACAGATTATACCGCCTCGATGCATATCCACACGTGGTGCAGCAGAGGCCCAATCTGCTTCCAAGGCCTCGCCTCTCTTCGGTAGCCAGGTCCCATGATAGTGGTCCATCACAGCCTGGTTTCTCATGCCGGTGGACTCGCATGACCTCATTCCACATCTCGGCTGTTTTTCTTAGATGTAGGAGTCTATGGGAATTTTGGTTAGCCAGCCTAGGTAAATATTCAATGTTTCATTTGCTTTAAACAGTTGGCATTGTGCAGAGCATGTGAATAGATTTTAGAGTTACTTCCCTTAGACTATCTAACAAGACATAGAGAAATTTAACATTGTGTAAATTTTTTTCTCTTGCAATTATTACTTTTAAATTTTTGTAAAATACTGATAAGGCTTTTTACTGCATGTATCAAATTTGACCCTGCATGTATTTACATGTATTTACATGTAATTGTGTGTAATATGTACCCTACCCTTATTTAGACTTTTTTTTAGTATTTAGGTAATATTTAGCTTTATAATACTTAATTTTAAAAAAATATTTTGAGAAAAAGTGATTAATTGTGATTAATTTTTTTGAAATTTGACTTACTGTTCTGATTCATTTTCATTTAGGCCCTCCTGAACACTTTCATTGTTTGGCTTCCTTGGCCTGAGGAGGTGGTGGCACTTGGGTCGCAGCATCATTTCCTGCCTTTCAGCAGCTGAGGGAGTCACCGTCACCATCTGATGCATGTCCTCAGACAGTCTCCTGTACGGTGCAGGTAAATTTTCCTTTCGCTTACTTTCCACCCCCTTATTGTGAGGCACATTTTGGGGTTTGAAACCGCACTTGTTACCTTTTTGGAATTTTGGCATTTCTTTAAGTTCTCCTTTTCCAGTTTAAAATTTGAGTATTTTGGCAAATATACAGGGCTGTTTAAGGCTACAGAGACTGAACTCTAATGTGTTATCAAAATAAGGGATTTTCTCTTGTCTCAGTTAATTGTAAACAAAGAAGATGGGGGGCACCTGCTATTTCTCCAAGTTACATTAGATAGAGGGGTGGTGAAACTTTTTGCACATACTTAATCAGCAGGGAGGACCAGATAAGAATCATTAGTTTAACTAGAGGCCTGATTGATTTACTTCTCATAATCACCAAAAAGTCGGCTAATAAATCTTTTTGAAATATCCATATTTTGCATTATTTGCTATGTTTTCATTAAATTTGGGAACTTTTCTTATGTTCTGGGTAGAATCTACCCTTATGAAAGAAATAACACAGATTGCACTTAATATCATTTTATTTACATTTAAAAACAAAATCATGTCAATTAACAAGCATTTTATTTATTACAGTCACCAATATATCCAAATATGAACACGGGTCTGACAGTCATTCACCACATTCAACTCGGCTAGTACCAGTAAGGTGTCATCAATTGAAATGGTCACAGTATCCAAGACACTGAAGTCACAGAACTCAAATTCCATAGATGTACACAGGTAAGTGTTAAGTCTTTGAAAATCACTAAATTGACTAATTCTGAGGTAGGTAAAAATGTAAGTATAGGAAAAAGAGTACCAAAGACCCAGATTTTTACATCATTTCCTGGTTGAACAAGATTTAGCAGAGTAAAAAATGGCTAGGCTTTACCTGATTGGCTGAATTCAGGTAAGTAATTTTTTTCATTTTAAAGCAAAAATATTAATGTTTGAAATAAATGATGGAATGAGGAAATATTCTAGTAAGTATAGAAATACCAGGGGATAAATAAAGGAGTGGGGTTGATTTTGAAAGTAGAGTGCCATTTACTGCCCATCACTGGAAGTTGAAAAGAACTGCAAATTTGACCTATAAACGCCACGGCACGGTATGTATTTTTCAGTGTTTTTAAAAAGCGCTTAGAATGAAGTTTCAAATGATACCAGGGATTTGTTGGAAAGGGAAATAGTATAGCACTGGGAGGGCAAGAGATTTGTATAGAGTTCTATGGGAAAATAATTGGTACTCTTTTCCCTATAGAGACCCCATTTTTGAAATGTCACGTGACTTTAAAGACAAAATTAGTTGTTGATAGCAAATGATTTGAAGATGGGAGACATTTTTGAGAAGCTGAAATTGAATTTAGCAAATAAGAGTGAGAGGGTGGGGGTAGGGGAGGGGGATTGTGTACTGTGGAGAGGGGGGACCAATAGTAGGGGGTATGGGGTGATGAGGGTCACATGGCCGGAGGAGGGTAGGAAGGTAGAGCTGGTGCATCGGGTTGCTCTTATGGTAGAGATGCGTCGGACCCCATCTCAGTTTCCAGGTAGGGGACTAGAGGTCAGCCATCTCTGCCATAAGAAGTTGTGTATCAACCCGATGCACCTCACTCGGGAGCAGCATGCCATTAATCAGGAGCGGATTCACTGTGCAGGCCAGGGTTTTTGTACTGAGGCCCACTACCCCAAGTGCATTTTTTAAAGTAATTTTTTTTATTAATAGAAGAATTTGATAAATATTAAGATATTAATCACTCAATTTAGAATAGTTGTGTTCTGGGTACTTTTTTTTCTGAGCTCGGGTTCGAGATTCCACTAGCATCATATTTTTTTTATATTTGACTTCCTCTTGGTGTTTTTCATACAGTTTGTACAGTTTTTTGCGTTTAATAACCCTTTTTGTTTTGTAGGACTGAGACTTCTGATTTGATTTATTTAACTCATAATCATGTTGTATCTTATCTAGGGAATGGTCAACCTGGCCACCAGTGGGAATGGGGGCACCAACCCCTGCACAGAGACCTCTGATGGAGCTGCCCGGACCGTGATTAGAAGAGTGAGCAGCACTGTGCGCCCGACCAGCAAAGTTTCTCGTGAAAGTGACATTACGAGGTAGGGATCGTCGCAGAGTTCTGTTGAAGCTTTCGACCTTTTGTGAGTTGCTGTTTTTGATCGTCCTGTCCAGTACAGCTGGACACAACCTCTTTGAGATGCAGGCATGGAGCCTTGCCTCGTTCTCGACTGAAGACGGTATTGTGAAATCATGACCTAAATAAGAACTCTTCCTAACCCAATTGTTACTAACTCTGCCTTTGCACACTAGAGAGTGTTTTCTGCATAATGCATGATCCCCCATGTAACACTTTACTATTGCATGTTTGGCATAAGATATTTTGTTTTTCATTTTATCTGCATCTCCGGCATATGCTGCTTGAGCTTGGTTTATCTCTGCCGTGCATCTGTCAACAGCATCAAGGGCAAAATTGTGCAAAAGTTTGGTTTTTTCTGCCTTTGTTCTTTTTGGCATGACCTCTAACAGTTTTTGATCTTTTTTGATTGACTTCCTAATATTCTCAGACAAGTGACGAGTGTCAATATAGTGTACTGGTTTATTTTGTAGCAGACCGTCCTTATAGAGGGAATCTGCAGCTCGACCAGCGGAGCTGTCCGGGTCAGTGGTTACCTCCCTTACCTCGAGGCCATCTTTGCAGAGGAGTTCCGCCATCCCCTCCCGAGCCCATGTGAACTCATCCCCTATCGTATGCTGCATGGGTAGGTTTGCCCCACACACCCCAGGACTACATTGGTGGTTAGCAGTGCCCTCCTCCAGTAAGTGGCCATGTTTGGAACAGATTTTATTTTTTGTAACCATTTTAACAATTTGGTGTTTTGATGTGACATTTTCAGCAAATGAGTACACTGTCTGTGTCGCCGGCTGGAAGGGTGTCTCACCCACCCCCGAGTACAGGGGGTTATTGTACATGCCATCACACTGTACGGGGATGGCATGTGGGGAGTCACTTCCCCTTAGAGTGTTGACATCCACCAGCTGGCGACACCGATTACTCATGTCAGCTTCATTAAGGGTCTCTATTAGGGGCATAATTTTATTTGATGTTTTTTGCAGGGACTTACGAGAAGGAGGGGGAGTGTTAGTAGAAAGAAGAATTTTCCTCATCCCATCATTGCCTATGGGGGTTTGACTTAGGCCCACCTGAAGCCCATAATTAACAGTGGCAGCTTTTCTACCCCGGGTTTTGGACTCTACCTCCTCATACAGATTATACCGCCTCGATGCATATCTACACGTGGTGCAGCAGAGGCCCAATCTGCTTCCAAGGCCTCGCCTCTCTTCGGTAGCCAGGTCCCATGATAGTGGTCCATCACAGCCTGGTTTCTCATGCCGGTGGACTCGCATGACCTCATTCCACATCTCGGCTGTTTTTCTTAGATGTAGGAGTCTATGGGAATTTTGGTTAGCCAGCCTAGGTAAATATTCAATGTTTCATTTGCTTTAAACAGTTGGCATTGTGCAGAGCATGTGAATAGATTTTAGAGTTACTTCCCTTAGACTATCTAACAAGACATAGAGAAATTTAACATTGTGTAAATTTTTTTCTCTTGCAATTATTACTTTTAAATTTTTGTAAAATACTGATAAGGCTTTTTACTGCATGTATCAAATTTGACCCTGCATGTATTTACATGTATTTACATGTAATTGTGTGTAATATGTACCCTACCCTTATTTAGACTTTTTTTTAGTATTTAGGTAATATTTAGCTTTATAATACTTAATTTTAAAAAAATATTTTGAGAAAAAGTGATTAATTGTGATTAATTTTTTTGAAATTTGACTTACTGTTCTGATTCATTTTCATTTAGGCCCTCCTGAACACTTTCATTGTTTGGCTTCCTTGGCCTGAGGAGGTGGTGGCACTTGGGTCGCAGCATCATTTCCTGCCTTTCAGCAGCTGAGGGAGTCACCGTCACCATCTGATGCATGTCCTCAGACAGTCTCCTGTACGGTGCAGGTAAATTTTCCTTTCGCTTACTTTCCACCCCCTTATTGTGAGGCACATTTTGGGGTTTGAAACCGCACTTGTTACCTTTTTGGAATTTTGGCATTTCTTTAAGTTCTCCTTTTCCAGTTTAAAATTTGAGTATTTTGGCAAATATACAGGGCTGTTTAAGGCTACAGAGACTGAACTCTAATGTGTTATCAAAATAAGGGATTTTCTCTTGTCTCAGTTAATTGTAAACAAAGAAGATGGGGGGCACCTGCTATTTCTCCAAGTTACATTAGATAGAGGGGTGGTGAAACTTTTTGCACATACTTAATCAGCAGGGAGGACCAGATAAGAATCATTAGTTTAACTAGAGGCCTGATTGATTTACTTCTCATAATCACCAAAAAGTCGGCTAATAAATCTTTTTGAAATATCCATATTTTGCATTATTTGCTATGTTTTCATTAAATTTGGGAACTTTTCTTATGTTCTGGGTAGAATCTACCCTTATGAAAGAAATAACACAGATTGCACTTAATATCATTTATTGCACTTATTTAAAAACAAAATCATGTCAATTAACAAGCATTTTATTTATTACAGTCACCAATATATCCAAATATGAACACGGGTCTGACAGTCATTCACCACATTCAACTCGGCTAGTACCAGTAAGGTGTCATCAATTGAAATGGTCACAGTATCCAAGACACTGAAGTCACAGAACTCAAATTCCATAGATGTACACAGGTAAGTGTTAAGTCTTTGAAAATCACTAAATTGACTAATTCTGAGGTAGGTAAAAATGTAAGTATAGGAAAAAGAGTACCAAAGACCCAGATTTTTACATCATTTCCTGGTTGAACAAGATTTAGCAGAGTAAAAAATGGCTAGGCTTTACCTGATTGGCTGAATTCAGGTAAGTAATTTTTTTCATTTTAAAGCAAAAATATTAATGTTTGAAATAAATGATGGAATGAGGAAATATTCTAGTAAGTATAGAAATACCAGGGGATAAATAAAGGAGTGGGGTTGATTTTGAAAGTAGAGTGCCATTTACTGCCCATCACTGGAAGTTGAAAAGAACTGCAAATTTGACCTATAAACGCCACGGCACGGTATGTATTTTTCAGTGTTTTTAAAAAGCGCTTAGAATGAAGTTTCAAATGATACCAGGGATTTGTTGGAAAGGGAAATAGTATAGCACTGGGAGGGCAAGAGATTTGTATAGAGTTCTATGGGAAAATAATTGGTACTCTTTTCCCTATAGAGACCCCATTTTTGAAATGTCACGTGACTTTAAAGACAAAATTAGTTGTTGATAGCAAATGATTTGAAGATGGGAGACATTTTTGAGAAGCTGAAATTGAATTTAGCAAATAAGAGTGAGAGGGTGGGGGTAGGGGAGGGGGATTGTGTACTGTGGAGAGGGGGGACCAATAGTAGGGGGTATGGGGTGATGAGGGTCACATGGCCGGAGGAGGGTAGGAAGGTAGAGCTGGTGCATCGGGTTGCTCTTATGGTAGAGATGCGTCGGACCCCATCTCAGTTTCCAGGTAGGGGACTAGAGGTCAGCCATCTCTGCCATAAGAAGTTGTGTATCAACCCGATGCACCTCACTCGGGAGCAGCATGCCATTAATCAGGAGCGGATTCACTGTGCAGGCCAGGGTTTTTGTACTGAGGCCCACTACCCCAAGTGCATTTTTTAAAGTAATTTTTTTTATTAATAGAAGAATTTGATAAATATTAAGATATTAATCACTCAATTTAGAATAGTTGTGTTCTGGGTACTTTTTTTTCTGAGCTCGGGTTCGAGATTCCACTAGCATCATATTTTTTTTATATTTGACTTCCTCTTGGTGTTTTTCATACAGTTTGTACAGTTTTTTGCGTTTAATAACCCTTTTTGTTTTGTAGGACTGAGACTTCTGATTTGATTTATTTAACTCATAATCTTGTTGTATCTTATCTAGGGAATGGTCAACCTGGCCACCAGTGGGAATGGGGGCACCAACCCCTGCACAGAGACCTCTGATGGAGCTGCCCGGACCGTGATTAGAAGAGTGAGCAGCACTGTGCGCCCGACCAGCAAAGTTTCTCGTGAAAGTGACATTACGAGGTAGGGATCGTCGCAGAGTTCTGTTGAAGCTTTCGACCTTTTGTGAGTTGCTGTTTTTGATCGTCCTGTCCAGTACAGCTGGACACAACCTCTTTGAGATGCAGGCATGGAGCCTTGCCTCGTTCTCGACTGAAGACGGTATTGTGAAATCATGACCTAAATAAGAACTCTTCCTAACCCAATTGTTACTAACTCTGCCTTTGCACACTAGAGAGTGTTTTCTGCATAATGCATGATCCCCCATGTAACACTTTACTATTGCATGTTTGGCATAAGATATTTTGTTTTTCATTTTATCTGCATCTCCGGCATATGCTGCTTGAGCTTGGTTTATCTCTGCCGTGCATCTGTCAACAGCATCAAGGGCAAAATTGTGCAAAAGTTTGGTTTTTTCTGCCTTTGTTCTTTTTGGCATGACCTCTAACAGTTTTTGATCTTTTTTGATTGACTTCCTAATATTCTCAGACAAGTGACGAGTGTCAATATAGTGTACTGGTTTATTTTGTAGCAGACCGTCCTTATAGAGGGAATCTGCAGCTCGACCAGCGGAGCTGTCCGGGTCAGTGGTTACCTCCCTTACCTCGAGGCCATCTTTGCAGAGGAGTTCCGCCATCCCCTCCCGAGCCCATGTGAACTCATCCCCTATCGTATGCTGCATGGGTAGGTTTGCCCCACACACCCCAGGACTACATTGGTGGTTAGCAGTGCCCTCCTCCAGTAAGTGGCCATGTTTGGAACAGATTTTATTTTTTGTAACCATTTTAACAATTTGGTGTTTTGATGTGACATTTTCAGCAAATGAGTACACTGTCTGTGTCGCCGGCTGGAAGGGTGTCTCACCCACCCCCGAGTACAGGGGGTTATTGTACATGCCATCACACTGTACGGGGATGGCATGTGGGGAGTCACTTCCCCTTAGAGTGTTGACATCCACCAGCTGGCGACACCGATTACTCATGTCAGCTTCATTAAGGGTCTCTATTAGGGGCATAATTTTATTTGATGTTTTTTGCAGGGACTTACGAGAAGGAGGGGGAGTGTTAGTAGAAAGAAGAATTTTCCTCATCCCATCATTGCCTATGGGGGTTTGACTTAGGCCCACCTGAAGCCCATAATTAACAGTGGCAGCTTTTCTACCCCGGGTTTTGGACTCTACCTCCTCATACAGATTATACCGCCTCGATGCATATCCACACGTGGTGCAGCAGAGGCCCAATCTGCTTCCAAGGCCTCGCCTCTCTTCGGTAGCCAGGTCCCATGATAGTGGTCCATCACAGCCTGGTTTCTCATGCCGGTGGACTCGCATGACCTCATTCCACATCTCGGCTGTTTTTCTTAGATGTAGGAGTCTATGGGAATTTTGGTTAGCCAGCCTAGGTAAATATTCAATGTTTCATTTGCTTTAAACAGTTGGCATTGTGCAGAGCATGTGAATAGATTTTAGAGTTACTTCCCTTAGACTATCTAACAAGACATAGAGAAATTTAACATTGTGTAAATTTTTTTCTCTTGCAATTATTACTTTTAAATTTTTGTAAAATACTGATAAGGCTTTTTACTGCATGTATCAAATTTGACCCTGCATGTATTTACATGTATTTACATGTAATTGTGTGTAATATGTACCCTACCCTTATTTAGACTTTTTTTTAGTATTTAGGTAATATTTAGCTTTATAATACTTAATTTTAAAAAAATATTTTGAGAAAAAGTGATTAATTGTGATTAATTTTTTTGAAATTTGACTTACTGTTCTGATTCATTTTCATTTAGGCCCTCCTGAACACTTTCATTGTTTGGCTTCCTTGGCCTGAGGAGGTGGTGGCACTTGGGTCGCAGCATCATTTCCTGCCTTTCAGCAGCTGAGGGAGTCACCGTCACCATCTGATGCATGTCCTCAGACAGTCTCCTGTACGGTGCAGGTAAATTTTCCTTTCGCTTACTTTCCACCCCCTTATTGTGAGGCACATTTTGGGGTTTGAAACCGCACTTGTTACCTTTTTGGAATTTTGGCATTTCTTTAAGTTCTCCTTTTCCAGTTTAAAATTTGAGTATTTTGGCAAATATACAGGGCTGTTTAAGGCTACAGAGACTGAACTCTAATGTGTTATCAAAATAAGGGATTTTCTCTTGTCTCAGTTAATTGTAAACAAAGAAGATGGGGGGCACCTGCTATTTCTCCAAGTTACATTAGATAGAGGGGTGGTGAAACTTTTTGCACATACTTAATCAGCAGGGAGGACCAGATAAGAATCATTAGTTTAACTAGAGGCCTGATTGATTTACTTCTCATAATCACCAAAAAGTCGGCTAATAAATCTTTTTGAAATATCCATATTTTGCATTATTTGCTATGTTTTCATTAAATTTGGGAACTTTTCTTATGTTCTGGGTAGAATCTACCCTTATGAAAGAAATAACACAGATTGCACTTAATATCATTTTATTTACATTTAAAAACAAAATCATGTCAATTAACAAGCATTTTATTTATTACAGTCACCAATATATCCAAATATGAACACGGGTCTGACAGTCATTCACCACATTCAACTCGGCTAGTACCAGTAAGGTGTCATCAATTGAAATGGTCACAGTATCCAAGACACTGAAGTCACAGAACTCAAATTCCATAGATGTACACAGGTAAGTGTTAAGTCTTTGAAAATCACTAAATTGACTAATTCTGAGGTAGGTAAAAATGTAAGTATAGGAAAAAGAGTACCAAAGACCCAGATTTTTACATCATTTCCTGGTTGAACAAGATTTAGCAGAGTAAAAAATGGCTAGGCTTTACCTGATTGGCTGAATTCAGGTAAGTAATTTTTTTCATTTTAAAGCAAAAATATTAATGTTTGAAATAAATGATGGAATGAGGAAATATTCTAGTAAGTATAGAAATACCAGGGGATAAATAAAGGAGTGGGGTTGATTTTGAAAGTAGAGTGCCATTTACTGCCCATCACTGGAAGTTGAAAAGAACTGCAAATTTGACCTATAAACGCCACGGCACGGTATGTATTTTTCAGTGTTTTTAAAAAGCGCTTAGAATGAAGTTTCAAATGATACCAGGGATTTGTTGGAAAGGGAAATAGTATAGCACTGGGAGGGCAAGAGATTTGTATAGAGTTCTATGGGAAAATAATTGGTACTCTTTTCCCTATAGAGACCCCATTTTTGAAATGTCACGTGACTTTAAAGACAAAATTAGTTGTTGATAGCAAATGATTTGAAGATGGGAGACATTTTTGAGAAGCTGAAATTGAATTTAGCAAATAAGAGTGAGAGGGTGGGGGTAGGGGAGGGGGATTGTGTACTGTGGAGAGGGGGGACCAATAGTAGGGGGTATGGGGTGATGAGGGTCACATGGCCGGAGGAGGGTAGGAAGGTAGAGCTGGTGCATCGGGTTGCTCTTATGGTAGAGATGCGTCGGACCCCATCTCAGTTTCCAGGTAGGGGACTAGAGGTCAGCCATCTCTGCCATAAGAAGTTGTGTATCAACCCGATGCACCTCACTCGGGAGCAGCATGCCATTAATCAGGAGCGGATTCACTGTGCAGGCCAGGGTTTTTGTACTGAGGCCCACTACCCCAAGTGCATTTTTTAAAGTAATTTTTTTTATTAATAGAAGAATTTGATAAATATTAAGATATTAATCACTCAATTTAGAATAGTTGTGTTCTGGGTACTTTTTTTTCTGAGCTCGGGTTCGAGATTCCACTAGCATCATATTTTTTTTATATTTGACTTCCTCTTGGTGTTTTTCATACAGTTTGTACAGTTTTTTGCGTTTAATAACCCTTTTTGTTTTGTAGGACTGAGACTTCTGATTTGATTTATTTAACTCATAATCATGTTGTATCTTATCTAGGGAATGGTCAACCTGGCCACCAGTGGGAATGGGGGCACCAACCCCTGCACAGAGACCTCTGATGGAGCTGCCCGGACCGTGATTAGAAGAGTGAGCAGCACTGTGCGCCCGACCAGCAAAGTTTCTCGTGAAAGTGACATTACGAGGTAGGGATCGTCGCAGAGTTCTGTTGAAGCTTTCGACCTTTTGTGAGTTGCTGTTTTTGATCGTCCTGTCCAGTACAGCTGGACACAACCTCTTTGAGATGCAGGCATGGAGCCTTGCCTCGTTCTCGACTGAAGACGGTATTGTGAAATCATGACCTAAATAAGAACTCTTCCTAACCCAATTGTTACTAACTCTGCCTTTGCACACTAGAGAGTGTTTTCTGCATAATGCATGATCCCCCATGTAACACTTTACTATTGCATGTTTGGCATAAGATATTTTGTTTTTCATTTTATCTGCATCTCCGGCATATGCTGCTTGAGCTTGGTTTATCTCTGCCGTGCATCTGTCAACAGCATCAAGGGCAAAATTGTGCAAAAGTTTGGTTTTTTCTGCCTTTGTTCTTTTTGGCATGACCTCTAACAGTTTTTGATCTTTTTTGATTGACTTCCTAATATTCTCAGACAAGTGACGAGTGTCAATATAGTGTACTGGTTTATTTTGTAGCAGACCGTCCTTATAGAGGGAATCTGCAGCTCGACCAGCGGAGCTGTCCGGGTCAGTGGTTACCTCCCTTACCTCGAGGCCATCTTTGCAGAGGAGTTCCGCCATCCCCTCCCGAGCCCATGTGAACTCATCCCCTATCGTATGCTGCATGGGTAGGTTTGCCCCACACACCCCAGGACTACATTGGTGGTTAGCAGTGCCCTCCTCCAGTAAGTGGCCATGTTTGGAACAGATTTTATTTTTTGTAACCATTTTAACAATTTGGTGTTTTGATGTGACATTTTCAGCAAATGAGTACACTGTCTGTGTCGCCGGCTGGAAGGGTGTCTCACCCACCCCCGAGTACAGGGGGTTATTGTACATGCCATCACACTGTACGGGGATGGCATGTGGGGAGTCACTTCCCCTTAGAGTGTTGACATCCACCAGCTGGCGACACCGATTACTCATGTCAGCTTCATTAAGGGTCTCTATTAGGGGCATAATTTTATTTGATGTTTTTTGCAGGGACTTACGAGAAGGAGGGGGAGTGTTAGTAGAAAGAAGAATTTTCCTCATCCCATCATTGCCTATGGGGGTTTGACTTAGGCCCACCTGAAGCCCATAATTAACAGTGGCAGCTTTTCTACCCCGGGTTTTGGACTCTACCTCCTCATACAGATTATACCGCCTCGATGCATATCCACACGTGGTGCAGCAGAGGCCCAATCTGCTTCCAAGGCCTCGCCTCTCTTCGGTAGCCAGGTCCCATGATAGTGGTCCATCACAGCCTGGTTTCTCATGCCGGTGGACTCGCATGACCTCATTCCACATCTCGGCTGTTTTTCTTAGATGTAGGAGTCTATGGGAATTTTGGTTAGCCAGCCTAGGTAAATATTCAATGTTTCATTTGCTTTAAACAGTTGGCATTGTGCAGAGCATGTGAATAGATTTTAGAGTTACTTCCCTTAGACTATCTAACAAGACATAGAGAAATTTAACATTGTGTAAATTTTTTTCTCTTGCAATTATTACTTTTAAATTTTTGTAAAATACTGATAAGGCTTTTTACTGCATGTATCAAATTTGACCCTGCATGTATTTACATGTATTTACATGTAATTGTGTGTAATATGTACCCTACCCTTATTTAGACTTTTTTTTAGTATTTAGGTAATATTTAGCTTTATAATACTTAATTTTAAAAAAATATTTTGAGAAAAAGTGATTAATTGTGATTAATTTTTTTGAAATTTGACTTACTGTTCTGATTCATTTTCATTTAGGCCCTCCTGAACACTTTCATTGTTTGGCTTCCTTGGCCTGAGGAGGTGGTGGCACTTGGGTCGCAGCATCATTTCCTGCCTTTCAGCAGCTGAGGGAGTCACCGTCACCATCTGATGCATGTCCTCAGACAGTCTCCTGTACGGTGCAGGTAAATTTTCCTTTCGCTTACTTTCCACCCCCTTATTGTGAGGCACATTTTGGGGTTTGAAACCGCACTTGTTACCTTTTTGGAATTTTGGCATTTCTTTAAGTTCTCCTTTTCCAGTTTAAAATTTGAGTATTTTGGCAAATATACAGGGCTGTTTAAGGCTACAGAGACTGAACTCTAATGTGTTATCAAAATAAGGGATTTTCTCTTGTCTCAGTTAATTGTAAACAAAGAAGATGGGGGGCACCTGCTATTTCTCCAAGTTACATTAGATAGAGGGGTGGTGAAACTTTTTGCACATACTTAATCAGCAGGGAGGACCAGATAAGAATCATTAGTTTAACTAGAGGCCTGATTGATTTACTTCTCATAATCACCAAAAAGTCGGCTAATAAATCTTTTTGAAATATCCATATTTTGCATTATTTGCTATGTTTTCATTAAATTTGGGAACTTTTCTTATGTTCTGGGTAGAATCTACCCTTATGAAAGAAATAACACAGATTGCACTTAATATCATTTTATTTACATTTAAAAACAAAATCATGTCAATTAACAAGCATTTTATTTATTACAGTCACCAATATATCCAAATATGAACACGGGTCTGACAGTCATTCACCACATTCAACTCGGCTAGTACCAGTAAGGTGTCATCAATTGAAATGGTCACAGTATCCAAGACACTGAAGTCACAGAACTCAAATTCCATAGATGTACACAGGTAAGTGTTAAGTCTTTGAAAATCACTAAATTGACTAATTCTGAGGTAGGTAAAAATGTAAGTATAGGAAAAAGAGTACCAAAGACCCAGATTTTTACATCATTTCCTGGTTGAACAAGATTTAGCAGAGTAAAAAATGGCTAGGCTTTACCTGATTGGCTGAATTCAGGTAAGTAATTTTTTTCATTTTAAAGCAAAAATATTAATGTTTGAAATAAATGATGGAATGAGGAAATATTCTAGTAAGTATAGAAATACCAGGGGATAAATAAAGGAGTGGGGTTGATTTTGAAAGTAGAGTGCCATTTACTGCCCATCACTGGAAGTTGAAAAGAACTGCAAATTTGACCTATAAACGCCACGGCACGGTATGTATTTTTCAGTGTTTTTAAAAAGCGCTTAGAATGAAGTTTCAAATGATACCAGGGATTTGTTGGAAAGGGAAATAGTATAGCACTGGGAGGGCAAGAGATTTGTATAGAGTTCTATGGGAAAATAATTGGTACTCTTTTCCCTATAGAGACCCCATTTTTGAAATGTCACGTGACTTTAAAGACAAAATTAGTTGTTGATAGCAAATGATTTGAAGATGGGAGACATTTTTGAGAAGCTGAAATTGAATTTAGCAAATAAGAGTGAGAGGGTGGGGGTAGGGGAGGGGGATTGTGTACTGTGGAGAGGGGGGACCAATAGTAGGGGGTATGGGGTGATGAGGGTCACATGGCCGGAGGAGGGTAGGAAGGTAGAGCTGGTGCATCGGGTTGCTCTTATGGTAGAGATGCGTCGGACCCCATCTCAGTTTCCAGGTAGGGGACTAGAGGTCAGCCATCTCTGCCATAAGAAGTTGTGTATCAACCCGATGCACCTCACTCGGGAGCAGCATGCCATTAATCAGGAGCGGATTCACTGTGCAGGCCAGGGTTTTTGTACTGAGGCCCACTACCCCAAGTGCATTTTTTAAAGTAATTTTTTTTATTAATAGAAGAATTTGATAAATATTAAGATATTAATCACTCAATTTAGAATAGTTGTGTTCTGGGTACTTTTTTTTCTGAGCTCGGGTTCGAGATTCCACTAGCATCATATTTTTTTTATATTTGACTTCCTCTTGGTGTTTTTCATACAGTTTGTACAGTTTTTTGCGTTTAATAACCCTTTTTGTTTTGTAGGACTGAGACTTCTGATTTGATTTATTTAACTCATAATCTTGTTGTATCTTATCTAGGGAATGGTCAACCTGGCCACCAGTGGGAATGGGGGCACCAACCCCTGCACAGAGACCTCTGATGGAGCTGCCCGGACCGTGATTAGAAGAGTGAGCAGCACTGTGCGCCCGACCAGCAAAGTTTCTCGTGAAAGTGACATTACGAGGTAGGGATCGTCGCAGAGTTCTGTTGAAGCTTTCGACCTTTTGTGAGTTGCTGTTTTTGATCGTCCTGTCCAGTACAGCTGGACACAACCTCTTTGAGATGCAGGCATGGAGCCTTGCCTCGTTCTCGACTGAAGACGGTATTGTGAAATCATGACCTAAATAAGAACTCTTCCTAACCCAATTGTTACTAACTCTGCCTTTGCACACTAGAGAGTGTTTTCTGCATAATGCATGATCCCCCATGTAACACTTTACTATTGCATGTTTGGCATAAGATATTTTGTTTTTCATTTTATCTGCATCTCCGGCATATGCTGCTTGAGCTTGGTTTATCTCTGCCGTGCATCTGTCAACAGCATCAAGGGCAAAATTGTGCAAAAGTTTGGTTTTTTCTGCCTTTGTTCTTTTTGGCATGACCTCTAACAGTTTTTGATCTTTTTTGATTGACTTCCTAATATTCTCAGACAAGTGACGAGTGTCAATATAGTGTACTGGTTTATTTTGTAGCAGACCGTCCTTATAGAGGGAATCTGCAGCTCGACCAGCGGAGCTGTCCGGGTCAGTGGTTACCTCCCTTACCTCGAGGCCATCTTTGCAGAGGAGTTCCGCCATCCCCTCCCGAGCCCATGTGAACTCATCCCCTATCGTATGCTGCATGGGTAGGTTTGCCCCACACACCCCAGGACTACATTGGTGGTTAGCAGTGCCCTCCTCCAGTAAGTGGCCATGTTTGGAACAGATTTTATTTTTTGTAACCATTTTAACAATTTGGTGTTTTGATGTGACATTTTCAGCAAATGAGTACACTGTCTGTGTCGCCGGCTGGAAGGGTGTCTCACCCACCCCCGAGTACAGGGGGTTATTGTACATGCCATCACACTGTACGGGGATGGCATGTGGGGAGTCACTTCCCCTTAGAGTGTTGACATCCACCAGCTGGCGACACCGATTACTCATGTCAGCTTCATTAAGGGTCTCTATTAGGGGCATAATTTTATTTGATGTTTTTTGCAGGGACTTACGAGAAGGAGGGGGAGTGTTAGTAGAAAGAAGAATTTTCCTCATCCCATCATTGCCTATGGGGGTTTGACTTAGGCCCACCTGAAGCCCATAATTAACAGTGGCAGCTTTTCTACCCCGGGTTTTGGACTCTACCTCCTCATACAGATTATACCGCCTCGATGCATATCCACACGTGGTGCAGCAGAGGCCCAATCTGCTTCCAAGGCCTCGCCTCTCTTCGGTAGCCAGGTCCCATGATAGTGGTCCATCACAGCCTGGTTTCTCATGCCGGTGGACTCGCATGACCTCATTCCACATCTCGGCTGTTTTTCTTAGATGTAGGAGTCTATGGGAATTTTGGTTAGCCAGCCTAGGTAAATATTCAATGTTTCATTTGCTTTAAACAGTTGGCATTGTGCAGAGCATGTGAATAGATTTTAGAGTTACTTCCCTTAGACTATCTAACAAGACATAGAGAAATTTAACATTGTGTAAATTTTTTTCTCTTGCAATTATTACTTTTAAATTTTTGTAAAATACTGATAAGGCTTTTTACTGCATGTATCAAATTTGACCCTGCATGTATTTACATGTATTTACATGTAATTGTGTGTAATATGTACCCTACCCTTATTTAGACTTTTTTTTAGTATTTAGGTAATATTTAGCTTTATAATACTTAATTTTAAAAAAATATTTTGAGAAAAAGTGATTAATTGTGATTAATTTTTTTGAAATTTGACTTACTGTTCTGATTCATTTTCATTTAGGCCCTCCTGAACACTTTCATTGTTTGGCTTCCTTGGCCTGAGGAGGTGGTGGCACTTGGGTCGCAGCATCATTTCCTGCCTTTCAGCAGCTGAGGGAGTCACCGTCACCATCTGATGCATGTCCTCAGACAGTCTCCTGTACGGTGCAGGTAAATTTTCCTTTCGCTTACTTTCCACCCCCTTATTGTGAGGCACATTTTGGGGTTTGAAACCGCACTTGTTACCTTTTTGGAATTTTGGCATTTCTTTAAGTTCTCCTTTTCCAGTTTAAAATTTGAGTATTTTGGCAAATATACAGGGCTGTTTAAGGCTACAGAGACTGAACTCTAATGTGTTATCAAAATAAGGGATTTTCTCTTGTCTCAGTTAATTGTAAACAAAGAAGATGGGGGGCACCTGCTATTTCTCCAAGTTACATTAGATAGAGGGGTGGTGAAACTTTTTGCACATACTTAATCAGCAGGGAGGACCAGATAAGAATCATTAGTTTAACTAGAGGCCTGATTGATTTACTTCTCATAATCACCAAAAAGTCGGCTAATAAATCTTTTTGAAATATCCATATTTTGCATTATTTGCTATGTTTTCATTAAATTTGGGAACTTTTCTTATGTTCTGGGTAGAATCTACCCTTATGAAAGAAATAACACAGATTGCACTTAATATCATTTTATTTACATTTAAAAACAAAATCATGTCAATTAACAAGCATTTTATTTATTACAGTCACCAATATATCCAAATATGAACACGGGTCTGACAGTCATTCACCACATTCAACTCGGCTAGTACCAGTAAGGTGTCATCAATTGAAATGGTCACAGTATCCAAGACACTGAAGTCACAGAACTCAAATTCCATAGATGTACACAGGTAAGTGTTAAGTCTTTGAAAATCACTAAATTGACTAATTCTGAGGTAGGTAAAAATGTAAGTATAGGAAAAAGAGTACCAAAGACCCAGATTTTTACATCATTTCCTGGTTGAACAAGATTTAGCAGAGTAAAAAATGGCTAGGCTTTACCTGATTGGCTGAATTCAGGTAAGTAATTTTTTTCATTTTAAAGCAAAAATATTAATGTTTGAAATAAATGATGGAATGAGGAAATATTCTAGTAAGTATAGAAATACCAGGGGATAAATAAAGGAGTGGGGTTGATTTTGAAAGTAGAGTGCCATTTACTGCCCATCACTGGAAGTTGAAAAGAACTGCAAATTTGACCTATAAACGCCACGGCACGGTATGTATTTTTCAGTGTTTTTAAAAAGCGCTTAGAATGAAGTTTCAAATGATACCAGGGATTTGTTGGAAAGGGAAATAGTATAGCACTGGGAGGGCAAGAGATTTGTATAGAGTTCTATGGGAAAATAATTGGTACTCTTTTCCCTATAGAGACCCCATTTTTGAAATGTCACGTGACTTTAAAGACAAAATTAGTTGTTGATAGCAAATGATTTGAAGATGGGAGACATTTTTGAGAAGCTGAAATTGAATTTAGCAAATAAGAGTGAGAGGGTGGGGGTAGGGGAGGGGGATTGTGTACTGTGGAGAGGGGGGACCAATAGTAGGGGGTATGGGGTGATGAGGGTCACATGGCCGGAGGAGGGTAGGAAGGTAGAGCTGGTGCATCGGGTTGCTCTTATGGTAGAGATGCGTCGGACCCCATCTCAGTTTCCAGGTAGGGGACTAGAGGTCAGCCATCTCTGCCATAAGAAGTTGTGTATCAACCCGATGCACCTCACTCGGGAGCAGCATGCCATTAATCAGGAGCGGATTCACTGTGCAGGCCAGGGTTTTTGTACTGAGGCCCACTACCCCAAGTGCATTTTTTAAAGTAATTTTTTTTATTAATAGAAGAATTTGATAAATATTAAGATATTAATCACTCAATTTAGAATAGTTGTGTTCTGGGTACTTTTTTTTCTGAGCTCGGGTTCGAGATTCCACTAGCATCATATTTTTTTTATATTTGACTTCCTCTTGGTGTTTTTCATACAGTTTGTACAGTTTTTTGCGTTTAATAACCCTTTTTGTTTTGTAGGACTGAGACTTCTGATTTGATTTATTTAACTCATAATCATGTTGTATCTTATCTAGGGAATGGTCAACCTGGCCACCAGTGGGAATGGGGGCACCAACCCCTGCACAGAGACCTCTGATGGAGCTGCCCGGACCGTGATTAGAAGAGTGAGCAGCACTGTGCGCCCGACCAGCAAAGTTTCTCGTGAAAGTGACATTACGAGGTAGGGATCGTCGCAGAGTTCTGTTGAAGCTTTCGACCTTTTGTGAGTTGCTGTTTTTGATCGTCCTGTCCAGTACAGCTGGACACAACCTCTTTGAGATGCAGGCATGGAGCCTTGCCTCGTTCTCGACTGAAGACGGTATTGTGAAATCATGACCTAAATAAGAACTCTTCCTAACCCAATTGTTACTAACTCTGCCTTTGCACACTAGAGAGTGTTTTCTGCATAATGCATGATCCCCCATGTAACACTTTACTATTGCATGTTTGGCATAAGATATTTTGTTTTTCATTTTATCTGCATCTCCGGCATATGCTGCTTGAGCTTGGTTTATCTCTGCCGTGCATCTGTCAACAGCATCAAGGGCAAAATTGTGCAAAAGTTTGGTTTTTTCTGCCTTTGTTCTTTTTGGCATGACCTCTAACAGTTTTTGATCTTTTTTGATTGACTTCCTAATATTCTCAGACAAGTGACGAGTGTCAATATAGTGTACTGGTTTATTTTGTAGCAGACCGTCCTTATAGAGGGAATCTGCAGCTCGACCAGCGGAGCTGTCCGGGTCAGTGGTTACCTCCCTTACCTCGAGGCCATCTTTGCAGAGGAGTTCCGCCATCCCCTCCCGAGCCCATGTGAACTCATCCCCTATCGTATGCTGCATGGGTAGGTTTGCCCCACACACCCCAGGACTACATTGGTGGTTAGCAGTGCCCTCCTCCAGTAAGTGGCCATGTTTGGAACAGATTTTATTTTTTGTAACCATTTTAACAATTTGGTGTTTTGATGTGACATTTTCAGCAAATGAGTACACTGTCTGTGTCGCCGGCTGGAAGGGTGTCTCACCCACCCCCGAGTACAGGGGGTTATTGTACATGCCATCACACTGTACGGGGATGGCATGTGGGGAGTCACTTCCCCTTAGAGTGTTGACATCCACCAGCTGGCGACACCGATTACTCATGTCAGCTTCATTAAGGGTCTCTATTAGGGGCATAATTTTATTTGATGTTTTTTGCAGGGACTTACGAGAAGGAGGGGGAGTGTTAGTAGAAAGAAGAATTTTCCTCATCCCATCATTGCCTATGGGGGTTTGACTTAGGCCCACCTGAAGCCCATAATTAACAGTGGCAGCTTTTCTACCCCGGGTTTTGGACTCTACCTCCTCATACAGATTATACCGCCTCGATGCATATCTACACGTGGTGCAGCAGAGGCCCAATCTGCTTCCAAGGCCTCGCCTCTCTTCGGTAGCCAGGTCCCATGATAGTGGTCCATCACAGCCTGGTTTCTCATGCCGGTGGACTCGCATGACCTCATTCCACATCTCGGCTGTTTTTCTTAGATGTAGGAGTCTATGGGAATTTTGGTTAGCCAGCCTAGGTAAATATTCAATGTTTCATTTGCTTTAAACAGTTGGCATTGTGCAGAGCATGTGAATAGATTTTAGAGTTACTTCCCTTAGACTATCTAACAAGACATAGAGAAATTTAACATTGTGTAAATTTTTTTCTCTTGCAATTATTACTTTTAAATTTTTGTAAAATACTGATAAGGCTTTTTACTGCATGTATCAAATTTGACCCTGCATGTATTTACATGTATTTACATGTAATTGTGTGTAATATGTACCCTACCCTTATTTAGACTTTTTTTTAGTATTTAGGTAATATTTAGCTTTATAATACTTAATTTTAAAAAAATATTTTGAGAAAAAGTGATTAATTGTGATTAATTTTTTTGAAATTTGACTTACTGTTCTGATTCATTTTCATTTAGGCCCTCCTGAACACTTTCATTGTTTGGCTTCCTTGGCCTGAGGAGGTGGTGGCACTTGGGTCGCAGCATCATTTCCTGCCTTTCAGCAGCTGAGGGAGTCACCGTCACCATCTGATGCATGTCCTCAGACAGTCTCCTGTACGGTGCAGGTAAATTTTCCTTTCGCTTACTTTCCACCCCCTTATTGTGAGGCACATTTTGGGGTTTGAAACCGCACTTGTTACCTTTTTGGAATTTTGGCATTTCTTTAAGTTCTCCTTTTCCAGTTTAAAATTTGAGTATTTTGGCAAATATACAGGGCTGTTTAAGGCTACAGAGACTGAACTCTAATGTGTTATCAAAATAAGGGATTTTCTCTTGTCTCAGTTAATTGTAAACAAAGAAGATGGGGGGCACCTGCTATTTCTCCAAGTTACATTAGATAGAGGGGTGGTGAAACTTTTTGCACATACTTAATCAGCAGGGAGGACCAGATAAGAATCATTAGTTTAACTAGAGGCCTGATTGATTTACTTCTCATAATCACCAAAAAGTCGGCTAATAAATCTTTTTGAAATATCCATATTTTGCATTATTTGCTATGTTTTCATTAAATTTGGGAACTTTTCTTATGTTCTGGGTAGAATCTACCCTTATGAAAGAAATAACACAGATTGCACTTAATATCATTTTATTTACATTTAAAAACAAAATCATGTCAATTAACAAGCATTTTATTTATTACAGTCACCAATATATCCAAATATGAACACGGGTCTGACAGTCATTCACCACATTCAACTCG